AAAAAAAAAACATCAGAAAAATCAACTCGCTTCTGTAGCCAGGATGTTTAAGGTCAGCAGAAGGGATATCCGCCCATTGAGACAACGGCGCGTTGTGGCCTGGCCTATTCAAAACCGACCCAGAACTGGTCGTCCAAGGCTTACAATGCCATCTCAAGACCGATATATCAGGTCAGTGCACTCGAGAAATCGCCTCAGGACAACTGCTCAAACCGCAAGACAATTTCCTGGACTTTTATTAATTAGCCGGTATACAGTTCGCCGCAGACTGTGGGAATTCAAGTTTGAAGCTAGGATGTTTACATACAGACTGTGGGATTTCAAAACTGAAGGCCATCTGTGGGTAAACTTTTCTTCATGTTTAAGCAGTTGGACCATGCATTTTTTCCCTCCATTTTTTAAACCTACATGCATTTCCCCAAAGTTCCAACAGCCCGCTTCAATCTTTAAAAGTAATTAGGAAATGGGTTTAGAAATAATTTGCACGTTTCTGTGTCATAATATGACAATATATTTTAAAATATTTTCTACATTGATTTTTTTTACCAATAAATATTTAATTTTCCGGCTTTAAATTACATCTTCTCCTTTATTTTTCATCAGAATGGCTTCACATTTTTGCACAATGTATATCCAAAGGTAAACTTTACTGAAATAGAGCCCTTTTTGAAGATAAGAAAATATAATTGCAATCAGTGTTTGAGTTGGGAATTTCGAGTTTTGTTCCTTCTATTTGTCCATAGTACATCCGACAAATATTTTCATAATCGAAATATTACAAATCTGGCGTTCTTTGTTCACAACATATGTGTCGTAGTTTGTTCTAGGTCTTGCTAAAAATAACAAAAACTGAGAGAATAAATGACCTTTTGAAATTTGATCAAAATTATCCAATATTGCAGATGTTTGCTTGGTTACTAATATAACAATAATATATCATCGTTGCTATATTCAGTCATGGGATAGGGATTTTAGAAAGTTCACCAGCAGATGGCCTGAAGCTATAATGTCTAGATTATGCAGACTGCGTTTACAGCCAAACCACAGTCAGGCTAGGATGAACTGGTCACAGCGACACTGCCGATGGGACACCGGCACCTTCTCGGACGAGTCTCAATTCTCCTGAACGCCACGAAGGTACCGTAGTATAAAAGTGTACAGGGGACTATGGGAACACATTCTGCCATTTCCTCATCAACACAATCAGCCCGTTATATTAAAACAGACATCGGAAACATATTAAAACAATCAAATTTCAAAGGTCATTTGTGCACCCGCACATTGTGCACTACACTCGGGATTGAATGGTCAAAAATCCAGAATATAACGTCGCTGTAAGAGATCTACTGCCTGCCATGAACGTAGTATTACCAGTCTTGAGCCCAACTAAGCACCTGTGCGACAGGGCTAAAGGTGTTGCTCGTGACGTGAATCCCGGTCCCAGAACCATTTCACAGCTGCAGCAAGCCCTCCTCACCAATGTCTGAAGCAACATTTCTGCAGGAAGACTTGTGTACTCTATGTGCAGGAGGTGGGAGCACAGATGAGCTGAATGCACACGGAGATCACACGACGTACTCAGCCGTGAGCTGACGTAACGCCTTTTGTCAAATTCCCAGAATTCTCGAAATAAAGAGGCTGGTTTTTTGTGTCGGCGTAATCACTTAAAAGGGCATTCTTTCGATATGTGAATTCTTATCTATTCAAAAACTAGTCACAGATTCACTTTGATTTTTTTCCAGAAGTAGGGTAACTTATCAGGCTTTTAATTCAGCAAGTAAAAGCATTTGGTGGGGAAAATGAAAAATAGAGGCTTATTGGTGTGTGATATTTGGATTTTACCATTGTTGTTAAATTTCAAGGATACCCCACCCGACTGCCCGTTGTGCGACTGCCAGGATGAAACAGTACCACACCACCCCTTTAACTGCCCAGCACTTTGTGACCTGCGTAGCACCTACCTACCTGCCTCCCCAGACATCGGAAACACTCTATACAGCGACAAAGCACAGCTGATTAAAACCTGTCAATTCTTTGCCATATCGACAGACCGAAGGGCTAGAACCCAAATGGCCGCTGGATCGGAAAAGTAAAGTAAAGTAAGTTAAATTTCAGTCATCAAATGGACGTTTTTGCAACAACAACTAAATAGTAATAATATATTAATTTTTAAAATATATTTTAAAAATCAGAATTAATCCTTTCGACTTGATTTATCTGTCAAATACTACATAATATTGCGATTTGGTGGTCAAAAGAACCACTATTGTTGCAGAGGAAAGACGAACCAGCTAAAACAGTACCTGGACATGGATGGCTGGTGTCTCTATGAAATATTTTTAAAAATTATTGATAGTCAAGGAAAGACGAACCGATGGAACGTGTAGGGTGGTACCTTTTGTTGGGTCAGCAGGTGGGCAATTGTAGACTGAGCAGACGTACGTCGAGTTGGTGCGAGAGTGAGTGGGAACCTGCAGGAAACAGCTGTGGCTTTATGGTCAGAGAGAAACATGTGATCGGTTCTGGGAGGTCACAGTGACTCGGTGTCTGTCCGGATTTGCTCAGTTATATGTGAGGCTTTGTGGTGAAATCAGGCGCTCGTCAAAACAATGCAATCTAAGAAAAAGGCATTCCTGCTACCAGGTTTGCAATTTTTTGACATTTTTTTTTTGGGGGGGGGGGGGTTTGCTCAACATCATTAATATTTATTTTAAAACACATTTCTAAGTGAATTTTACCAAGGCACGATGATTAAAGGCACAACAATTGTAAATTTTCTGTATCCAAGGACTCTAAAACTATGGAAGTTACCAAAATTTGGTTGCCCTTTTCTCGCAAATTTATTCACTGAATTCAGGTGAACCCTACTTTCTTTGACTGCAAATATATCAATTTCTATTCAAAATAAATGGGTACTTTTTCCATCTAGAGCAAGACAATAGAACAACTTTTAAGGGGATACAAATAACTCCACATGCCCAAACATTAACGAGCGCCTGATTCCACCGCGTCGTGACACATATATAACTCACCTTCACTGCCCCCCTCCCCCCCTCCCCTAAATCATAGCCTAGCTGTCACATTAAAAAACACTGTTTAATGAAATCAATGCGCGTGTGCGAATGAATTAAACTTGTATTGATTTAATTTCTTTATTTGAGCACTTCGTGAAACTTGACCAGCTAAAAAGGGACAGTGACATAAGCATTCAAAGTAGATGGTACAGGTGTAGAATGCTCATCGATCACGTGTCAGTTACACAATGGGTTGGGGGGCGGAGGGGGGGGGGGCCTGTCCATACAAAGTTTTGTCTCACTCAGGTTGTGCCTCGTTGTCTCAGACTGTGATAGAGAAAAACTCGAAGTATTTTTGAAAAGCCTGAGACAGGTTTTATTTTGATATTGGCGACCCAAACATATAAAACATCAGCATACATGAGCATTTTGTTGAGGCTGCATAATATTGCAGATATTTATCGTCTCCGTCATTTGTCGTGGGTCGAGATAACAGGTGTTTAAGTGGAGCAAAAAGCTGTTTTATTTTGCCCAAGACATTATCTTAATACAAAATACTTAAATCGTCTGATTTTTTGTAAAGAGTGTAAGAAGAGAACTGGAACTGTGACCAGTCGGTGCAACTCATGAAACTCAACAACGTTTTTGACGTTCTTTGTCTACGACATTTTGACATACGACGTTGTAGAATGACAGTGGGGACATGGGAGGAAACTCGTGAAACATTTACACACACTTTGAACCACAGTTGTGTCCCTTTGTTGTGAAGCATTTTACACACACACACACACACACACACACACACACACACA